CCCCAGCCCCCCAGCCCCACTACCACGGACTTCAACTCGGATGGAGCCTCTTAATGCAAAACCATGTCACGCAAATCGTAAGTGCTGTCGGGCTTTCCTTTGGACGTGTCACCACCACCCTGAGTTGACTTCATTCCCTTAAGACGTAGCCACCTTCTGCGTGCAACTGAATGTAAACTTGCAAATCAAAACACCAGGCCAAATAAATGGCCCTTAGTAATAAAAAATGGGTCTGAGTGCCAGTAAATGCTGCCAGGAACCTGAGATAAACCAATTACTACAACTGGCTGCAGATTTTGGCTCAGTTTCCTGGGAGCCGAAACTGGAAAGAGAGAGATACAAGAGATGACATTTTCCCTGTAACTGAGGCGTCTGAACCACGCTGTCCTAGCTCAGGCTCTCCACGCCCTCTCTGGGGATTCTTGTGCCAGTGGTTTTTTTGTTTGTTTGTTTTTAATGTTTTTACTGATTTCAGAGAGAGGAAGGGAGAGGGAGAGAGAGAGAAACATCAGTGAGAGAGAAGCATGCCTCCCACACACCCCCTACTGGGGATCGAGCCTGTGCCCTGACCAGGAATCGAACCAGTGACCTCCTGGTGCACAGGATTTTGCTCAATCCACTGAGCCACACTGGCCGCGCTTGCCAGTGGTTATTAAAGGAGGTTCTCAGGAGAGCCATGAGGGGGGGCAAGGGCGGCAGGCTAGGAGAAGGAAGGGCTGAGCGAGGTGTGGTTTTGGTAGCCCTTGCCCTGGTCTGATCCTGCGAGAGATTCTGAGTGTATTGGACACTGTACAGTCTGTCCCACCTTGAGTGAAGGGACCAGAGTTTTGTGCCCACATCTTCCAGGCATTGGCACCTCAGGGAAAGGCAGCTTCAATTGCCGGGGGGGGCAGGTGGAATCAGAACAGCAACACCTGCAGCAGGTGGGAGCCGGGCACACCCGCCTGGTGAAAGCCTCCAGGGCACCTGAGCCGGCCACGGGAGCGTGTGCTACAAACAGAGGGAACCAGATTTTCAACTAACTGTTGAATAAGGACAGATACCTCCCCGTGCGTGACTCAGATCACAGAGGACTTAAAACAAACATGTAACCCCGAGAAGGCGGCCTCAGCAGGCGGCAGAGGAAATACGGGCCAGGTATTTCCTCTTCTCTCTGACATCATCTGCAGGTTTTAATACACTATATTCATGTCTAAAGAGAAAGCTTATATCCGAGAAAAAATGGACTTGAACCAGAAAAGCACACAGTAGGACTACATTTTCCTTCTCAGGCTGATACAGAACCAGTGCTGTTGTTTTCCAGTTATTATTGACCCATGCACTGAACTGAAAAAACCATGACCAGCAACAACTTCTGGACAGAGTGAGTTCGATGCTGTTCTAACAAGAGCCTGAGAAACCCAAAGAGTGTCAAGTCCAGTCATTTACAGCCCATCTCCTGTGACTACACTTCCTTTTCTATTTGGGCTTTGTTCAAACTCTGCAGATGTCACAGCTGGGGTTTTCCAAGTGGCCGGCCACACCACAGCACCATTGTGATCTTGTGGGCATCAGCCACATGCTAAGACCCTGTTCTTGATGCCAGGAGCTCACCCTCCAGTTATAGGAAAGAGGGAGGCCATCACCCAGTGCACGTGGATTTAAATTGTTAAATCCCTTCTTTGTTGACCAATAAATAGTCATCACCCATCCCACCCCTGGGGTCCCTGAGACCTACCCAGCGTCTTCATAACTAAAGGGGGGCCACCTGTCACAGCAGGCCCCCACCCTACTGCACACCTTAGCTGCGTCCATGGGGCTCACTCTGTGTGGGCCTGTGCATGCTGGTTCCTACATATTTTATTCCAAGGAAGTAGTGAGTTTTAATTTTTTTAATTTTTTATTTTTTAAAATATATCTTTATTGATTTCAGAGAGAGAAAAGGACAGGGAGAGAGAGAGAGAAACATCAATGATAAGAGAGTCATTGATCAAGCCTGCAACCTGGGCATGTGCCCTGACTGGGAGTCGAACCCCGATCGCCTGGATCCTAGGCCGACGCTCAACTGCTGAGCCACGCCCGACCGGGCAGTAGTGAGTTTTTTAAAAAAAATTTATTGATTGATTTGAGAGGGAGGAGAAAGGGAGAGAGAGAGAAACATCAAGTTGTCACTCCACTCATTTCTGCATCATTGGTTGCTTCTTGCATATGCCCTGACCAGGGATTGAACCCGCAACCTTGGGGTGCCGGGACAACGCTCCAGCCAACCGAGCTGTCCAGCCAGGGCCCAAGGAAGCAGTGATTTTTTAAATCAGTGATTTTCAAAGGGTAAGAGCACAAGTAGAGGAAAATCAAGGTTCAATTTCCCCTGACTTCCCCTATCTAAGTTGCAAAGGAATTCTGACAAATAAACATCTCATCTCCTCGCCTGGCTCTGCCCTCTCCACCGGGACGCCTGCCCTCCCGTGGGACCCCACGGGCCCATCTCCACTCCGGAGTTTCCTTCTGGAACGTCAGCTCACAGGCACGGGTCCAGAGAACCAGGAAAGACATCAGGAGCCAGCTGACTTAACAACAGCCAGAGGGTATCAGTCCGAAGGCATTTCCTGAGAGCTCGTGAAACACGGAATCTAGGAACGCAGAGGACTCCGTGGAATTTCCCTTTCTAGATGTCTTTGTCGGCCTGCGAGGACTGGCGTGGAGGTCCGGCACAGGAAAGGGAACCAGATGCCCGGGGATGTTCCACCGGCCCTGTCTGTCCCAGAGTCTAAGATGAGGCCTCCCACCCAGCACCCCCCGTTCACTACTCCCTGGCGTTTGCTTTCAGATCCTCATGTCGGAACCCGGCAAACTCAGCCAGAAGATAAAAGTTTGGCTGCAGGAGTACTGGAACATCACGGACCTGGTGGCCATCTCCGTGTTCATGATCGGAGTGATCCTGCGCCTGCAGAAGCAGCCGTACATGGGCTACGGCCGGGTCATCTACTGCGTGGATATCATCTTTTGGTACATCCGCGTCCTAGACATCTTTGGCGTCAACAAGTACCTGGGGCCCTACGTGATGATGATCGGAAAGATGGTTAGTGCTGCGCGAGGCCCGGCTTCGGGGCGGCTTCGTTAGATTTCACTGGGTCTTTTCTTTGCGGTTGGTTTCTTACAGAAAGTGATTTTTGCTTTAAGATCCCTAATGCTCCTGCATGTAAATAAGTTAAAATCTAGTTGACAGACAGGAGTCAAGGGCCGACTTGCCTGCTCGCAAGCTCACACACACACGGCAATAACCCGATTGATAACCTCCTAACATGTAGCAGGAGCCAGAGACAAAGGGGTCCCAGCCAGGGTCATTCCCCGCCTGTGTTCCAGACAGTCTTCAGCTCACCGGCTCGGGCCTGGAGTGGACACAAGCAATTCCTGTGGAGAGGTCAGGAAAACCCTTGGCAACATTTCCTCCAGAACACGATGGAATGTGAAACGAAGACTGAACCAGCCGATCTTCCTTCCATCATCTCAAAAAGCTTCAGTGTTAGGATTGGTCCCAGGAGAAAGGATATTTTTTCCATTGATTTTTTTGTTTTAGAGGGTGGAAGAGAGGGAGAGGGAGAGAGGCAGAGAGAGAAACATCAATGTGAGAGCAGAACATCCATTGGCTGCCTCTTGCACGTCCCCGACTGGGGATTGAGCCCAAAACCCGGGCATGTGCCCTGACTGGGAACTGAATCCACGACCCTTCGGTGCACAGGCCGGTGCTCTAACCACCGAGCAACACCATCCAGGGCTAGGAATAATTTTTTTTTTTTTTTTTGGAATATATCTTTATTGATTTCAGAGAGAGGAAAGGAGAGGGAGAGAGACAGAAACATCAATGATGAGAGTCATTGATCGGCTGCCTAGCCCGCAACCCGGGCATGTGGCCTGACTGGGAACCGAAACCTGATCACCTGGATCCTAGGTCGACGCTCAACTGCTGAGCCACTCCCGGCCGGGCCAGGATTAATTCTTTATAGGGCCAGTGGCTTGGAGTGAAAGGATATATGAATTAGCTTATCCTGGCAGGGCTCATACCCAAAATTAGAAGTTAGACCGGTTCGGCGTGCAGGAAGCAGAGCGTCGCTCATTGTAACCGCTCAGCGTTTGTACAGTGAATGAGTAGATACCAGGGTGTATTCTCTGTTCATTAGCTGGCTACTGCCTGAGACATCTCCTCTTACCATTTCTTAGCTTTCTTTACAAATTCACACATTTTCCCGCGAGTCTCTCCTTTCTCGTGCGCAGTTGTTGTTACCAGAAGAATAGTTGTCGATGAGCAACAACAGACGGGAAGGGCGATGGAGACGAAGACGGCAGCGTTCTAGAATGAGACGCAGAAAGGGGGATGGCCCGGGGCGGGATGGGGGAGAGGAAAGGCTCTCTTCCCTCGGACGCGCTGAGGGCGTCTTTGGGGGGGGCAGTAGCAGGAACCACGCGACCTTGGCCCGGGAGTTAAGACGGTGAGACCGGTTTTCTTTCCGTGCAGATGATTGACATGCTGTACTTTGTGGTCATCATGTTGGTCGTGCTGATGAGTTTCGGGGTGGCCCGGCAGGCCATCCTGCACCCGGACGAGGAGCCCTCCTGGAGACTGGCCCGGAACATCTTCTACATGCCCTACTGGATGATCTACGGAGAGGTGTTTGCAGACCAGATAGACCGTAAGACTAGAATTCATAGTAAGGTTCTCTTCCCTGCTTCCGAGGCAGGCGATCGGATCCAAAGTAACCAAAGGGCACGCGTTAAATTGGGGATAAAGTATTTCTTTTTTTTTTTTAAATATATCTTTATTGATTTCAGAGAGAGGAAAGGAGAGGGAGAGAGAGAGATAGAAACGTCAATGATGAGAGTCATTGATCGAGCCCACAACCCTGGCATGTGCCCTGACCAGGAATTGAACCCCGATCGCCTGGATGCTAGGCCAAGGCTCAACCGCTGAGCCCCGCCCAGCCGGGCAGGGGATAAAGTATTTCTTAAATCCTGCCATGGACATCCAATGATTTTATGAAGTAGTAGTGCAGGTGATCAGATGGAGATTTCTGAGACCTCAGTATGTTCCTTCTGCTCTAAAAGCTATTAACCAGAATTCTGGGTCTCACGTCCCTTTAGCTGGGCCTGGGGACCATGCTAACCCATGACTGTGGCTCCAGGGCCAGGATCCTAATGTGTCTTCAACCTGAGCTCTTTCCACCCGAGACCGAGCTGGTGGTGTCATCCTAGTGGAATGAGATGCTGAGCATGACAGGGTGCTGGGGTCCCACATCACCTGCTTCTTCAAGCCACCAGAGCCCTTTCTCCGCACAGGTGTCCATCTCTCCTTTACTAGCGGGGTGCTATATTTTTAATGATTAGCAATAATCTGACTGTTAGCAGAGGAAGTGAGCTACAACCCTACGTGGATTTGTGGGGAACGGAGACCCCAGCACCTCCCCAGGCTGAGCTGCTTGCCATAGCATCTCTCGGGTTGTAGGGGAGGGGAGCTCAGATGTCCTTGGGCCCAGACAGTCAATGCCCCACCAGCGAGCCAGGGCCTTCGGTCCAGCTTTTATGTCAGCGCCAATATTTTCATTTGCGTGTTAGCGTTACCGTGAAGCATTATGTGCAACAGCAGGTCTGCTGCTTCCAGTGTTCTGCCTTTGGGGACTAGAAGGGTTTTTATTATTGAGTTTATTAGGGTGACATTGGTTAATAAAACTCTCTAGGTTTCAGGTGTACAATTCTATGATCCATTGTCTGTATATTGTATTGTGTGTTCCCCGCCCCAAGGCAAGTCTCCTTCCATCAAGAGAAGGTCTTGAAGGTCCTTCCCTTGTAGGAAACGCAGGGTTGTCAGTGTAGCCACAGTCACTAGGTCAGACTGATAACAAGGTCACGCAATGCCTCTGTCTAGCTTTTATAATTCGGGATACGTTATTATCATAGCTACCTTAAAGTCAGTTACTGGTAAGCCAGAACATAAGAATCTAATTTGGTTTCAAAGAGTATTAGCTAGGTGAACATGAAACACGAAACAGAAACGCTCAAAGTCCCTGGATCCAGACGTAAGTTGTAACGTTTTTATCGGTATTTTTCCAGTTCAATTGGGTAATGCGAGAAGGTAGAGGTAAACTGGAGGCTACATTATTTTCGGTGACACCCTTAATGCGGGTTTTTGATCGGATTATTAGGTATTTATTTTGTATGTATTTGTGCCTGTGGGGTGTCTGTGTTGGGCTCTGGAGGATGCCTGATTGGTTACCCTGAACGTTAAAATGATCCTCTGCCCACAGCCTTGTGTCTTTCTCACGATATTTTTAACAACTGAGCTTTTGTTGCTGCTTATGACACATGGTAAAAATAAACATTCATGAAATATATATACATTTCCTAGAATTAACAATGGGTACAATTCTCCTGAATAGACCACGGTGACCAAGCGTGAATCTGTAATTCCCAAGCTTGAAGATTTTGCTTTTCTCGTGTTTGTAATCATTTTACTTTTCTCTCAATCGTCACCTTATTTCCCCCCCTCTTTTCCTGTCATGACTAAAAATAAATAAAACCCTGCTTTCCAATCGCTGTATAGTCTACGCCATGGAAATTAACCGTAAGTTTACCCGGAATTTATGACTCTAGCCCGTGAAGTGTGTGTATTAATTAGTCTCTTCCTTAGCTAATGAATTGATAGCTAAGGGTGCAAATACTTCTCTGGCTTTCTGATGTCAATGATTTTTAAACCGTAAATAAGTGAGAAGTAGGTAGACTATAAATTGATGGAGATTACTTCACTAACCGCTGTTGGGGTCATCCTATCTTTTCTCCGTGAAATAGGTCCCATAGGATCAAAGTGGCATTTCAAATGAGCTGAGGGAGAAAAGATGATTTTCCTTTTAAAATATTTTTTAATTGATTTTAGAGAGAGGAAGGGAGAGGGGGAGAGAGAGAGAGAGAACAATATTGATCAGCTGCCCCCGACGCACCCGATACTACGGGTCAAGCCTGCAACCGGGCATGTGCCCTGACAGGGAATCGAACCACTGAGCCACACCAGCCAGGGCGAAAAGATGATTTTTCAAACGTGGCACCAGAACAATAGACTAATGGATACGGAGGTAGAGGGATCCTTACCTCCTGCCCCATAACAAAATTATTTTCAAAGTTAATTATGAGTGAAACCAAGAAGACAACCCAAGCTGATGTTAAATAATTAGAAGACACAATACCTTTCTAATGGGCAACAGTAAAGAAAAAGACCATAGAAAGCCAGGCAGTGAAAGACAAGTATCACATGGTCTCGCTTATACGTGGAATCTAAAGAACTTAATAAACTGATGAACAGAATAGATTCAATGCCATGGAAGCATAGAGGAGACTGATGAATGTCAGAGGGAGGGAGGAGGGCGGGTGGGTGGAGGGGGAGAGAGTAACCAAGGAATTTATATGCAAATATGCACAACCCAAGGACACGGACAATGGTGGGGAGAGGGACTGGGGAGGGGGAAGGGACGGGGTGGAACGGGTCATTGGGGAGAAAAAGGGACATCTGTAGTATTTTAAACAATAATAAAATTTAAAAAGAAAAAAAAAAAAAAAAGACCATAGAGATAGATTTAGCTGCTTAAAAATTAAGAACTTCTATCTGTGAGAAACATAATTAAGAAATGGGACAATGTTTACGAACGCAACGAGTTACGAATGATCATCTCTGAGCGCAGAAAGGAGTTCCTTCTGTATGTGAGTTGATATTTTTCACAGAAAAAAAATACTAAAAAAGAAATAGGTCACTTAATAACCTCTGTAAGTTATTTGTTCATTTCATTCTATCTCAAAGCAAGCATGAAAAGACAAACTTTTGTTTCAGCTCCTTGTGGTGACAACCAATATGACGAGGAGGGCAAGCGCCTCCCCCCCTGCATCCCAGGCGCCTGGCTGACCCCGGCCATCATGGCGTGCTACCTCCTGGTGGCCAACATCCTGCTGGTCAACCTGCTCATCGCGGTGTTCAAGTATGTGTCACGGCTGATGACCGTGTGCTTGTTAATTATTATTTTACAGGTTTTCAGTTTAATCTCGGAATTCCCCCCGTGCTACGGTGAATGTACACAGGATTCCACTAGGGCTTTGAAATGGGTGGAATTTTGCAGTCTTTTTTGTTCAAGGTTAACCAGCCTTCATGTATTCGTAAATCAAGAGTTGATGTTATATACAATTAAATTTAATCATGGTTTGGATTTTAACACTGTAGGGTTTTGGTTTTATTTTATTTTTTTAATTTATTGATTGATTTGAGAGAGAGAGAGAGAGAAACATGGATTTGTTGTTCACCTTAGTTAGGCATCATTGGTTGATTCTTGTATGTGCCCCGACCAAGGATCGAACCTGCAAACTTGATGTATCTGGATGATGCTCTAACCACCTGAGCTACCTGGCCAGAGTAGGATGTGTTTTAATCTATTAAAAATATTTTCGCCCGGCCAGGCGTGGCTCAGCGGTTGAACATCAACCTAGGACCCAGGCAATCAGGGTTCGATTCCCGGTCAGGGCACATGCTTGGGTTGCAGGCTCAATCAATGACTTTCTCATCATTGATGTTTCTATCTCTCTCTCTCTCTCTCTCCTTCCCATTCTCTGAAATCAATAAAGATATATTAAAAAAATATATATATATTTTCTTAGATGAAAGTCTCCTGAAGTAGAGAAGCTTTGATGTAGTCGTGCCTTTAATTCATGATCAGAGGCACAGAAAGCAATGTCGTCCCTAAGCTGTGACAATTGCTGTCATATTATAATAAAATATTGACAGAATAGAAAATAAAATAGCCTAGAAAAAAATGGTTAAACCGAAAATCAAGTTTTTGGTAAAACCTGACCATTTTGGCATGGTGAGTACATGACCATGCTTAATAATGTTGAAAAACATTTGTATAGCTTTTAGGATGAACAATATGAGGAAAAGATCCATCACAGAAATATAGACTCTTAGAGCTGACCGGGGCATTGGAGAGAACCTGGTTCAAACTCCACGTTTGAGAGACGAGAAAATAAAGGTCATGAGAAGTTAACTGGCTTCTCTGAGGTCCCCGTGTTGACAGAAAACATGTTCAATCAGGATTCCCACTGCCAACCATTGTGCCCTTACCGCCTCCCACTGGAAACTCAACCACAAAGGTGGGACCTACCCAACGTCCAAAATAGCTCATCTTCAATCAAATAAGTACCATAAGTAATCAGTTCCGTTACCAAAAATAAAGTAGGCTGAAATGGAAGTTTAAATACTTTAAAATGCTTAGTTGAATGGCTCATACTTTTAAATATATGGAATAAAATTCCCTGAGCAATATGAGTCTGATGACAGCCACGTGGTTTTTTTCAAGAAAGCTGTAACAATTTCAATACTCGCAATTACTATTTATGCGAGTAAAATGCCTTTGAGTGTAGATGATCCCCACAGTGATAGATAAACCAAAGGAGAGGGCCATCTAGGAGTTAGAACTAAGCGGCACTCAAAGGCCATTTCATTGAGTCTTGTCATATCACGGCAACTCTGACTGCTCTGGAGAATCACATAAGAAGTATGATGATTAACTGAAAATGTGTTCTTTTTAAAGCAATACCTTCTTTGAAGTAAAGTCCATATCCAACCAAGTGTGGAAATTCCAGCGGTATCAGCTGATCATGACGTTTCACGACCGGCCAGTCCTGCCTCCACCGATGATCATTTTAAGCCATATCTACATAATCGTCATGCGTCTCAGTGGTCGCTGCAGGAAGAAGCGAGAAGGGGACCAAGACGAGCAGGATCGAGGACTGAGTATGTGCATGACCCTTTCATTTCTCACTCAGGCTCCTTTCAAGGGAGTTTCCCAGTGGGACACCCTCGTGGAAATCTCATTAAACTACTCAAATGTTTGAAAGCACAATGCTCTCGCCCAACTGCCATTCTTTGCGCAGCTCTTCTCGTTTTGTGATGATTTTATTCTAGTTTTGTTAATTTATTAGTAAATAATTTATTAGTAAGTTAATTTTAAAAAATGGAGAGTTCTTGAAAGTAATTCTTCTGTATCAAATCAGTGTCCCTTTCAAATTGTTTTAATGTGTTGCATCTAAAGATCGTGGGAAATAAGTGCAGTACACTCAACTCTATCCATGCAATACATGCAAAAGGTTTTCCAGGAAATAGTACTTCAGTTCGCTTTCTGAATAGCTGCCATTTGGGCTTTTTGTGTTGAAAAGTGAGTCGTTTTGCTCCATTGGAAAGATGATAGTTGCTTATCACAAGGTCTTCTTGTGTGATAAACAACTGGACCAGGTAGTTGGAAAAGTGTCCACACTGAGGCTGGGCCTTGAAATGCACCATGATGCAAGGGGGTTCTTCACGGGCACCGCGGGCTCTCACCAGGCAAACCCTTCTCCGCGCAGAGCTGTTTCTCAGCGAGGAGGAGCTGAAGAGGCTGCATGAGTTCGAGGAGCAGTGCGTGCAGGAGCACTTCCAGGAGAAGGAGGACGAGCAGCAGTCGTCCAGCGACGAGCGCATCCGTGTCACCTGCGAGAGGTGCGTCCAGCATGTTGCCAGCTCTGGGCCCCAGGTTTGCAGGCTCCACCCCATTCTGGGGGGGTGGGGGCAGGTTCATTTAAATACGCACTCCCCGTTCTCTGGTTTAGTAAAATTTCGGGTGTTTTTTGGTTTGTTTTTTTAAATATATTTTTTTTATTGATTTCGAGGAGGGAGGGAGAGGGAGAGAGAGATAGAAACATCAACCGAGGTAGGTGCCCTTGGCCAGAACTGACCCTGGGACCCCTCAGTCCTCAGGCCGATGCTCTAACCACTGAACAAACCAGCTAGGGCTTCCTACATATTCTTTCATTCCACACTTTTCGAGACTATCAGTTAAGAAAAGCAATTTGAGCTTGTTAAAAATTATAATTGGCCCAGCTGGGCGTGGCTCAGTGGTTGAGCGTCGACCTGGGATCCAGGCGATCAGGGTTCGATTCCCAGTCAGGGCACATGCCCGGGTTGCGGGCTCAATCAATGACTCTCTCATCATTGATGTTTCTGTCTCTCTCTCTCCCTCTCCTTTCCTCTCTCTGAAATCAATAAAGATATATTAAAAAAAAATTATAATTGATTTAAAAAACTCATATTGTTCCAAAGAGTTTAACCAACAATGTGGGTAGAAGGCGAGCGTGGAGAAGCAGACCTGCCTAAGGGGACTCTAGCTCAGCATGATATCCTTGGGTGCTCAGAATTACAGGCTCCTGATACAGGTTACGGATGAGCGTAAAGACCCGGTAGGGCCTCAAAAGACTATTTCAGCATAGTTCCCAATCAGGGGCCCTCAAATTACAACAGAACTCATGGTGCTCCTTGAAGTCTCCCTGGTGCGTGTCCAGGCCAGTGACTCCTCCTCAGCCCCTGGCAGCGGCAGGTCTCTGGCCTCTCTCCCCTCCTAGACCTAGTCACCTTGTAATCCAGCCGGCCAAACTCAAGGGTCGTCGCACCAACGTTTGGTCTTAATAAGGTACCTTTTCGATAAAACTTGGAACCACTTCCTTGCTGTTTTAATAGTGATTAATAAGCTTTCAAGATGTACAAATTAAAAAAAAAAATTAAAAAAAAATTTAAATAAAAAGCTACATTAAAAAAAATATATATATGTACAAATTAGCCCTGGCCGGTTTGGCTCAGTGCTTAGTGTCGACCTGTGGACTGAAGGGTCCCGGGTTTGATTCCAGCCGAGGGCATGTGCCTCAGTTGCAGGCTCATCCCTGGCCCTGTTGGGGTGCATGCAGGAAGCAGCCAGTCTTTGTCTGTCTCTCTCTCCATCCCTTCTACTCTGAAAAGCAATGGGAAAAATATCCTCGGGTGAGAATAAGAACAGAAATGTACCAATTATTTCTTCATAGAGAGATGAGGGACCCCCATCTTGATGATGGGAAATTTCCACTTTTCAGTTAGACATTAACTTGGATGGAATCACAGCCAGTAATTTACAGTGGAAATTGTGTTCTGCCTCATGCTCCCTCTTCACCCCCCCTCCCCAGAGCATTGTTTGGATTTTTACCATTCTTGGATCCAGGCTCCAGGAATGTGGTTATCAGGTCACTACCAAATTACGTTGTTTTCCTCCAGGGCCCCGTGCACACATCACAGGAATGAAAGTGTGCCGGGCAGTAAAAACAGGCTCCTTCCCGTTTCCCTGGGCTGGGAACACCGGCGATGGGAGCGCATTCACAGGTGACTACCGGAGACAGAAAGGAGGGGGCTCAGGGGGAGAAGCTTACCCAGGCCAGCGGAGGAGCAATGGAGAGCAAATTAATTATTTCCCCCTAATTTTTGGCACCAGTGATGGTTTTGAAAATCAAACTTTTGAGTCCTCGGACGTTTCTCCCATTTCTCTATGCTTCTAAAATGGACTGTTTCATTTTCTGAGTCACCATTTGCTGATTTTCCTAGTTGTGTCATCACCGGCTCTGTTCAGACCTGGGGTCGGGCCCTTCCGGGCCTCCCTGGTGTCTGGGCACCTTTCAAAACCTGGACCAGCGATTTGCAAGTCTCAGTCTTGCAAATGTGTTCACACAGGAAGTTATACACTTGTCCTCCTCTGTGCAGGCTGCTCCTGCGTGCAGGACGCTCCTCTATGTAGACTGCTCATCTGTGCAGGGTGCTCCTCTGTGTAGGCTGCTGCTCCTCTGTGCAGGCTGCTGCTCCTCCGTGCAGGGTGCTCCTCCATGTAGGCTGCTGCTCCTCTGTGCAGGGTGCTCCTCTGTGCAGGGTGCTCCTCTGTGTAGGCTGCTGCTCTGTGTAGGCTGCTGCTCCTCTGTGCAGGCTGCTCCTCTGTGCAGGGTGCTCCTCCGTGCAGGGTGTTCCTCTGTGCAGGGTACTCTTCCGTGTAGAGTGCTGCTCCTCTGTGCAGGGTGCTCCCCTGTGCAGGGTGCTCCTCCGTGCAGGGTGCTCCCCTGTGCAGGCTGCTCCCCTGTGCAGGGTGCTCCCCTGTGCAGGGTGCTCCCTTGTGCAGGGTGCTCCTCCATGCAGGCTGCTCCTCCGTTCAGGGTGCTCCCCTGTGCAGGACGCTCGCCTGTGCAGGACGCTCCCCTGTGCAGGGTGCTCCTCTGTGCAGGGTGCTCCTCTGTGTAGTGCTGCTCCTCTGTGCAGGATGCTCCTCTGTGCAGGATGCTCCTCTGTGTAGAGTGCTGCTCCTCTGTGCAGGTTCCTCCTCCGTGCAGGGTGCTGCTCCTCTGTGTAGGGTGCTCCTCCGTGCAGGGTGCTCCATGAATGTGCAGGAACCAAATTCATGGCTTTTCCCTAATGCTTGCAAAGTTCTATATAAAATTCTAACAGTTTAACAATTTCTTGTCAACCTGTAATGTCCATGTTTTGTAAGAGCCAACATTCAGCCCTCCAACAGGAAATTTACAACATCACTCAGTTTTTAGTTGACCGCACACTGGGCTGCAGTGGCGTGCTTATCTCAAAGCCCCGCCCAACAGGTCACTTGGTGGCTTAGGGCACTGCGCTCACGGCTTCCTCCCACCCTTGGACTTCCCCCTGTGCTCTCAGCTCTGTCAGTGGCACCACAGGCCATCTCATTCAGCGACATCAGCAGATCATTCTGACACCTCCCTCTCCACTAACGACCAGGTTCTGTTTACTTCCCCAAGTTCTGTTTGCTTTCCCACCAGCACACTGGTACAGGCTACCATCATTTCCCACTAGGATCCCTCCAGCTGCCCCCTATCTGAACTCTCCATATTCTTTCCTGCTTTTTCAATCCAATCTGCACTCAATAGACTCTGAGCAAGTCCTGCATGCTACCCCCCCCCCCC